ATACTTCTGTGGATTCTCGAGGAAAATTTAAAGACTTCCATAAATTACTTAGTACCTTTCAACGCTCGTATTCCAATTTTTTATTTATTTTTTGAGCCTCCCCTAAATTTACTTTGCTCCGCCGCCTATGTCTTGGATTCTAATCGGATAGATAGGAACTAATAACAATAAAACTAATTCTCTGCTTGTAACCAATGAAAGAAGTTCTAAACTGGATGAGATATTTTCATGCTGTTTTCATGTTTTACGCAGATTCAACATGCCGAAACTATCTGATGCACGTCAAGCTGTGAAAATTTAAAAATTTGCTAAAAAAAGAATCTCAATTTCTTTAAGTTCGGTGTCAACAAGAACTGACAAGTTTCATCCGAAAAAAAAAATTATCGATTAATTGACATATATCGGCGATTTCACTACATGAAAGAGCTATGGAATTTTTTATTTCCTACCCGTACAAGTCCTAAAGAACGGCTAACTGTGATCATTTTCTCCAAAAGCTATTTCGACCGAAAAAAAAGGTTCTAGACAAAAGAAAACGTTTTGGTATTTTTTATAACAACATACTCTCTATAATGAGTCTTTTGAAGATTTTTCACACTCTTCACTCAGAAAGATAAATACAAAATTTCTGAATCTATTTTTCAATTGTTATTTGTTACTTAATATTAGTCTAGAATACTTTAGAGTGAATAAAAGAAAACAAACATTTTGTCCGAAAACTTCTAGTGCACTCGTTATTATTTCTATTCAAGACTAATATATTGATTTGCATCTATTTATAGGCATTTCATCTCATATTTTCATCCATAGAGAATAATTCAATGTCTTATGAGAATTTCATCATGTATTCATAAACTTTAGAGCTAAACAAGTGTCATTGTTTTTTTTAAATAAACAAATTGAATTATATACTCATGTCGAATACTTTATGCGCACAATGATTAGAGAAAAACATGACAACTAACCTCTTTTATGTACTAAGAAACTTATTCTTCGTAAATTGTCGAAAGGTGAAAACATGAAATGATTAGTTTTCTATTTCGAGAATGTTTAAATGAAATGACTATGAATAAAAGAATTTTCATAGAAATTTAATTCAATGTATTGAGATATAATTGCAGAAAATTGATTTTAATATAAAAAGAATATAGAAATGACGTATAGAATTTTGAATTTTATTTATACATGATCAATATTTAATCTAGATGCTTGCAGCGATATCATTTAACTTTTATCATTCATTATATAATAATATGCCGATTTAGAAATCTAGTATGCTCTTAAAAGAACATGAGCGAAGAAATCATTTATTAAGAATGTTTTCAAACAATTAAAACTATCAACACAAGTTAAAAGTTTATAGTAATTCCCAAATCAAAATATATATTAATAAATTCTGTCATTTTTTATTTAAGCAATTGCATTATATTTCATATTTTTATTCCACAGAGATTGTACTTACAAATTATTAATTTTCCAAAAAAAAAAAAAAACGAGATTGTCAATGTCAATAATTTCATTGAACTCACAAAACAAAGACCCAAAGCAAATCACATTTGGTTTTGAATCCATATATCTATCATAAATAAATAACATCGAGATTAGAATACATGATCAATAATTCACTCTCATAGCATGTTGTTTATGAGTTATGGTTATTCTACAGAGGTTTTTTTTTGTTCTCCTGACAAAAGTTGTTTCGACAAAAAGTTTGATATGAAATTTTACCGTTAGATACGTATAACTGCAACTAGAATGTTCTAAAAATTTCAATAAAAATAAATTTGCATATTTATTATTGTTGAGATTTTCATGATGTTCTAGTTATCCCTATATGTATCTATCAGTAATATTTCAGATTCGGTTGTAGAAATTGGACATTGTTCCAAAAAACGTTTCTCAGGAGAAAAACTTTTACGTAATAAGCATAAATTAGAGATAATATGATATAAGATCGAGTTATTTCACAAGTATTTTCCAATCTCAATGTTACACATTAATGAAACAAAACATGCGCTCAAAAACAGTTGTCTTGACCTCTAATTACATAATCTCGCTTAATAAAGATGAAAATTAAATCTTTTAATAGATTAAATATTCAATATTTCTAATCTAAATAACAAATGTTCATGTTTCATCTATAGATTTATCTCATTTATGAAATCATGTTAACCATATATTCATTTACACTCAATCATCATCTATTACATTAATTTGGTCTTTTATCAACTTAAATTTTTCTATACAGTTGTTTCTGTACTTTAATTTTTTTGTCCACTTTTTCTCATCATAATTTCAACGAAAAACAAAACCTAACGAGACACCGAATATAAAAATTGTACCGAAAAAAAAAAAAAAAAAGCAAAAAAGAAGAAGTAGAATTCATAAACAACAAAAACATACACACACACACATATATATATATATAAACAAAACATAATGATTAAATAAATGTATCATGTAAATCCTTATTTGAAACAGTTGTTGTTCGTGTTTTTAATTGTTGAATAGTTGTACTTAAATGTGGATATGAACGTATTTGTTTTTGATATTCAAATCGAACTTGTTTTGGTGATGGTTGAATATTTGATGATATTGTTCGTTTTCCATTCATAGATTTATTTAATTGATTTTCATTTGTTTCCAATGTTTGACATGAATTAAAATCATTAAATGTTGATGTATTCAAATATTTTTTTGATTTCATTGTTATATCTTTATATAACCAATCTGGATAAAGAATTTTTTCAATTGACCATTCTGTATTATTAATAATTGTGGGTCGATGTTCATCAGCCAATTCATCAGCATCTGCAATATAAAAAACAAAAAATATTTTTTAAGAAAAATCAAAGAAAACTATTTAACCTTCTTCATGTTTGCTACTATTACTATAATAATCACTTGTTGTTTGTGTCGGTTTTAATATTTGATGATGTTGTGTATACATATTTGCACCTATATAAGAAGAAAATGAAAAAGAAAAAAAAATCAAAATAAAGTTCTTTTTATTGATCTCTTTGCTGTTCAATGTCAAAAAGTTTATTGCAAGAAACGAACAATGAATATTGACAGTTTGTATGTCGTTAAATAATTCAATAGTTATTTTATATGAAAGATATTTATTAATCTTATTACCTGTATATGATGGTGATGATGAATGATCGATAAGATGATTTTGATGAAGATCTTCCTGGAAGAGAAAAAAAAAAGTGTTGCCATTAATTTCAAGATAAATATTATTTCATTAGGTAGAGACTAGTAAGATTTAAAATGTACGGAACATATTCTAATACTGTTCGCAATGACTGAAACTATTAGAACTGAAAAATCACGCTCATTAATACTAAAAAACTTTTCAACTGTATCAGACGTATTGTAACTGAGCGAGCAGGACAACTTTTAACCGTCAAAAAATCCTGATATCTCATAGAAGAAAGGAGATGCTGTTCTCCAAGAGTGTCGAAAAGAAGGGGAAGAGGTTCCACCTTAACAGAATTTTCAATATTGACCTCTGACAACAAGATATATGAGCAAAATCTGCTGTTACTTTTAAAATGAAATACTTTTATGAAAAACTTTATTTATACAAAATTTCAATTCGAAAATCAATTTTGAAGATGATCTGACGAGTGAAGTTCTCTAACTATTCAATCACGTTTGAGTCGAAATTATGTACATTATATAGATCTGAATTAGCTATAGACACTCTGAAAAACAAAGCTTCTGTTCTCACGAGGGAACCTCCCGAGGTGTAACCTCCCGTTTTGATTCATTTATATCTCATTTAAGTGAGCATATTGAGATAGTAAATACCCTAAAAGGATTTGGGT